GTGTGTGTGTGTGTGTGTGTGTGTGTGTGCCCTGAGCCTCACGGGACAAGTCTCAGGTGGGTTGTAGGCTATCGGCATCCTGAGATATTGCCATCCCCCGCTCTGGTCTATATCAGTAGAGCGCCATGTGGGGCCAGGCACCCCCAGGCACTTGGCAGCCATCAGTATGACCGATTCTCATTTTAAAGTTGGGTAAACTGAGGCTTGGGTCGATTGACCCACACGGCCAGCCAGCAAGGGTCAGAGTTGAGACCATTGGATCCTTCAGCCACCTCCCTGAGTGCTCTTCTGTAGCCCCCAGACACCAACTTTGCTGGCGGTGGAAGCCAGGCTGCAGTCCACCCTGGCTCGCTCTGCTCTGTTGATGTCAGAGCTCTGTGCCCCGAGCAGGCCCTGCTCTGCCAGGGTCCACTATCTCCACTCTCTGTAAGGAAACTGTTTCTAATCACAGCTGGGACCAGTAGCGACCAAAGTAGAAACCCAGGAGGAGTGGGGGCTGCTCAGGACAGTGCTCCTGCAATCAGGCTGATGTGGCCCCTTCCCAGGCCTGCCCCCTGGCAGTCTGGGTAAGTCTCCCGAGGCCAGGATGCCCAGAGTTATGGTCCCGAGCCACTGCCCTGAGTTTCTTGGGACAAGCTGGTCTTGGGGAATACAGAAGCAGAACTCTGGGAAGGGGAGGGGCAGCAGCCTGGGAGGTGGCGGGGGGCGGGGCGTCCAGTGGCCTTGGCTCCTGCTAGTGAGCCATGTGGGATAATCTACCCAGCCTCAGTTTATCCAATTGTGAAATGAGGATGGTAAGAGAATCCAACACACTAGATGGCTGCCAAGTGCTATTCTCTCTCTCTCTCTCTCTCTCTCTCTCTCTCTCATGAGCTCAGGGATCACTCATGGCAGGGCTCAAGGGAATATATGGGATGCCAGGGATCGAACCCTCTGTACTTTCACTATGGCTCCAAGCACTCCAAGCACGATTTTCACCTGAGTGGTCATATTAAGTGGCTGGGGGGGGGGTACCTGGCCATGGCTCACACTCAATATCTGTGGACTAAAGTGGGGGGGCACTGATGTTGTGACATCAGCCACAACACACCTGATTTTTCCTACCTAAGCTCTGTCTGTACCCTCTGCCTCTGTTGGGGAGAGACCATGCTCATCAAACTCCCTTGACCTTGGTGGCTGTAGGAAGTGATGACCTGAAGCCCGGGACCCAGGGGACCACAGTTGCCCCCAGGCAGACCTCAGGGTTTCTCCTAGGCTTCATCTGAGCACGAGGCATGCCTCTGCACACGTGTGACCCCCACAGTCACGTGTGGGCACGTGGCTCAGTGAGGGGCACACACCCTCAGCCCTCCATTCCTACCACTTCTGTGGGCCAAGGGACTTCAGCGCTTCACTTCTGGGTGGCCGCACATGTCTTTAATGCCCGGTGGCTCGTTCCTCTCTCTGTGGCATGGGAAGGGACTGGGAGGGAGGGGTCCTGTTCCTTCAATGTTTCCTGCAACTCTTTGTCCAGGGCTCAGGAGGGTAAGACCTGGGACGGGATCCCATGATCAGCCCTGCGGTTGGTTCTACATCACAGGATCATGACCCGTCCTCCAAGGATCCCCTATGTGGGTCCCAGAGCCATATGACTTGGGCCGCTGTAGGAAATGCCCAGTTCCTGGCGTGCAGGGGAGACCCCAGGTTTCTCCTCTCCTCTGGGAAGTGCTGTCTCCCTCACATCTCTCCCACTGGCCCTGCCCTCAAGCTTGTTCTCATTTGGGGAGAGGGCACGGTGTCTGGGCATTGCTTCCAGTGTGCTTGGGGGATGCTGTGAGGTGGGACTTGACCTCATGCTGCCTCCCATGTGGAAACACACTCCATGTGCTCTCTTTCCTGCAGCTGCCCTTGAACCTCTGCTTCAGAGGGGCGGAAGGGGGTGCTAGGAAGACAAAAGGTTCCCACCTGCCAACCAGCCTGGCTGCCACCTTCTCCCTGGCCTCCTCCTGGTCTGCAGCGAGGACCTGGAGCTGCCTTTGGATAGGAGGGGCCCGTGCCCAGGAGCAGGCATGTGTCAGGGGGCCAGACCAGCTCCCCTACATGTCAGGCGGGTCAAGGCAGACACCGAGCAGTGCTGGGCTCTGACCCAGCCGTGGGCCCTGCTCTGGAGATGCCTGCCTATCCCAGCCCCTCTTCTACAGAGGTGCAGCCAGCCCCCAGCCCCCAGGACTGTGGCTGGCCTGTGGGCTGAGGGCCAGGACCACTATGCGTGCTGACGCAGGTCCGTGTGGTTTGCTGGGCTGAGGCCCTGGCCGGGAGGTGCCTCCTATGGGCACAGCTGGCCGCTTGTCGGCTCGGCTGGCCGAGGGAGGAAATGGGATCTGGAAGGGAATCCTCCCGGAAAGCGATTGGCTGGCAGAGCCGTGGGGGGTATTTATAGCCAGGGCTGCACCACTGCGCTCCCTGTCGCTGTGGGCATTAGTGGCCGCCGTGCTGCTGGGCAGACTTCAGCCTGGACCAGGGAGAGCAGCCAATCACAGCAGGCCAAGCCTGGTGCCAGGCAAGCGAAGGGCTTGGCTCAGCCCGGACACCTGCTGCTTGGAAAAGTTCGCAGCTCTCCCGGCTCCCCGGACATTATCAACCCCCAGGAGTGCACAAGGCATCGAGACGTGGGGAAGGTCCTTTTCTGGACCCCCTACCCAGCCCCCTTTCTGCTCCTGCCACCAACACCGGCCTCTTCCTTTTCAGATGAAAGTCACCTCACTTCGAGGGTTGGGTGTCTGTGGCACCCACGAGGCAGGCACTGTCTTGGAATCCCATCCTTAGCAAACTCAGAAAGAAGCTGCCCCTCTCATTTCAGCATCCGGTGTGCTGTCAGAGGGAGAAATACAACCAAGCTGCAAATTACATGGGCTGGGGAACCAGCACTCTGCAAGTCACCACCTGGCCCTGTCGCCCGAAAGGGTTTGCAAAAAGGACTTTCTGCATCCTGATTCACAGTGTCCTAAGACCCCACCTGCCTTCTCTATTGTAAGAGCTACTGAGTCACTTGTGTTTGTGTTTTTTTCTTTAACCAAACCAGAGTCACCAAAGATGATAAAAATGGACTGCATTTGGGGCTACAGCATTAGTACAGCCAGGTAGGGTCCTTACACACCGCACACGGATTCAATCACCAGTATCCCATATGGTATCCTGAGCACTGCCAGGAGTAATTTCTGAGTGCAGAAGTGCAGAGCCAGGAGTAACTCCTGAGAATTACTGCGTGTGACCAAAAAAAAAAAAAAAAAAGGACATGGGCTGGATTTGGCGTGCTCTCTGGATGGAATGACATGCCCAAGGGCCCCTGGCATGAATCTTTGACAACTCCCAGGCATGGTTGCTGCGTCTCCTCCCTTGCTCTCTTGCCCATTCACCCACACACATGCGGGCTGAGCTGCCCCTGAGGGGTTTCCTGGGGCTTCTGTGTGTCTCTGGGGCAGGGGGGTCGGTACCAGGGTCTCCGCAGGTCTCGCACTGTCAGAATTTCACTCACTCTGGCATTGACCTCCAGGGAGCTAGAGCTGGTCTGGGAACTGTCGGATGTCTCCCAGGAACAGGACAGGATGACCCCCATCACCACCCACAAGTCCACTGGAGAGGATCCAGACCGGTTCGGGGAGGGGGAGCTGTCTTGAGGTGACTTGGACCCACCCTGCGTGGGGCAGAAGTGCAGACAGTGAGGCCCTCCAGAGGGTAGAGACTTGGGAGGTAAATGGTGTTAGGAATAGGATTATTTTATTTGATTGATGGAGATCCCAGTAGTGCTCAGGGTTCTCGGGAACCAATCTCCATGATACTAGGCTTCTGGCCTGCACAATGCTAGGGTCCAAGAATGAGAGACTGCATGGTCCCTGAGAAACTGGAACCACCAAGATATCGGTGCTACTTGGAGCCTCCAGAACTGTATCCAGCAGTGCTCATGGAAACATGCAGTGCCCGGGATTAAATCCAGGGTCTACACATGCAAAGCAGGTTCCTCTGGCCCTTGCCCCAAGGAACATTTCAGAAAGCAGGGGTTCTTGCTGGTCTTTTTCCCACGCCCATCCCCAGCAATTAGCAGCTGACCTGGCACATAGCAAGGAGTAGGCCTAGCCTAGAGAAGGGCTGAGTGAATCAAAGCTAGCATGGACCACGCTTCATTATTGTCACTAGGTATTTAGTCTGGTCTCATTGCAGTTCTGAGCCCACTTCCCCGGGGAAGGTTTCCTCATGGTGGTTTTTGATACCACTCTTCAATGCTTGGTATACAGCCAGGACAGGGCCTCGGGTTTAAGGCCTGGTTCTTCTCAGCACTTGCCCATGCCCACAGGGCTCATTACTGACCCCTGTTTCTAGAGGCTGGGCAGCTGACTCCCCCTGGGCAGAGAGTAAGGCCCAGCAGAGACTATTGGCATCAGTGCTCACCCTACCCCCCCTGCTCCCCAGAGGCTTGGGAAAGGAGCTGAGTTCTGGACCTCGGACAGCAGGAAGCCACAGATGACTCAATGGGCATCTTTCTGGGCCTGAGTAGGACTGTCCCAAGTCTTTGTTCTGTTCACCTGAGGATGGCAGGGACCAAGTGGATTTTTCCATGGCTAGAACCAGGTTAGTTCTATGCTAGCTCTACCTGGCACTGTGAGGTGGAGAAGTCATGTCCTCTTTGTCTGGGATTATTTTCAAATGACAGATGGGCACCGTGCCCTGTGCTCAGGGGTGCTGGGGTCTCCCCATCCTCCATCATATGCGTCTTTCCTAGAGCCTGGCTGGGAACAAGAGGGTGGTCAAGCCTGTGGTACTGCTTCCAGGAAATCACGGGGCCCGATGCCAGGAAAACCCTTGCAGGGTCATTGTGGCCTCAGAGGTTTGGCTAAGTCACTACTTTTTGAGAGGTCACATGCCCTGAGCCTCTCTTCAAACCAGAGAAACTCAATCCTTCCAGCCAGTTTTCAGGGTGCTTCATTCCAAGGGTGGAAAGAGAAATAAAAGAAAAGAGAATTTACCATGTGGGTCATTTCCTTCCAATCTCTGCCATCTCCGGATTTCACTGGTGACACTCTGGAATCCTGTGGAATAACAAGGGTGGCGTGAGGCCCTTTGGGGAGAAGATAACCACACCAAGCAAGGGGTGTGCACATTGGAAATGCATCTGGGTGAGCAGGTCACTGTAGAGGGGACCCTTCCCATTGCCCTGAGATGGGCTGCCAAAAATAAGGCCCTGGGGTGTATGTATGTGTGTGTGGGGGTGTGTGTGGGGTGATTGTAACACCCATAGACAATACTGAGATGTAAAAACACTCATTTCCAGGAGTTGGGGGTTTGCAATACACATGCTTATTTTTTTTACACCCACATTTCCAGTGCAAAAAATCTGGAAATCTGGGAGTATTATTCTAGAAGACATCTGCCACTCATCTTGCCCATCTATTTTTGTGAAAGATGAATCTCTCACTCATTTTGTGGAGGGGCTGGGGGCAGTGGTCACCAAAGCCAACGGCTACAGCAGCCCACTCTCCCCACCTCCTTTGCAGCTAAACTCTGGGCATGTGCAGCCCAGGCATGGCCCATTGGTCACACCTGTACCCCATTCTCTCTTGGGCTTGATAATGCCAAAGGAGAGGGAATAGAAGCCCCCTGTCCCCCACCTCTGGCTGTGGTGAGAAGTGGTACAGCAAGGTCGAGTTACCGGCTCGGGGCTGGCATACACTCTGACACCAGGAGTAGCTGCAGTGAAATCAAGGACCTGGTGTGGGACAGGTACCAAGGACGCCTGCTTGCGTCCTCACCAGGCCAAATCTGTGTGTGCCTTGTGTGCAACTGTCCCCAGCCCTCAGCCTGTTCTCCAGAGCACTCAGGGCCCCCAAGGCCCTTCTCTTCACCTTCCTTTTCTGCATCAGCATCTGGAACATCATGCTTGGAAAACTCTCTTTGCCACCTCTGTGGAGGGTCACGCACATGCTACCTCATGTCACATCGGGCTTGGCCATGTGTGTGCGCCTTCAGATGTGGGAGGCTTTAGGTCAGGGGAGGACAGCTTTAGGAGTGGAAGGACTCATAGGCACTGTTACAGGAGCACTGTTCTAAGCACATGGCTGGGAAAATGCTCGAATCCTACAGAAACTGGGGTGAGAGCACGGCTTGCAGCCAGGTGTGGACCTTAGTGCATACTCCTTGCTTTCTTGGCCCTTAACTTCTTTTCATCTGCCAGGACAGAGCAGAGGAGCCTCCCTGGTCACAGCGTTCCTCCTTGCCCTGCCCTATGTCCCGACCAACATTGGACTCTTTCCTGACACAGGCCTTGTTCTGCAGAGCCAAGGAAGGGTCTCCAGCCAGGGACCAGGAGTGGGAAGGACCCAAGAGGGGTGCTTGGAGGTGGGTCGTGTAAGAAAGTGTTCTGGGCCTTAGAACAAGTCAGTATCATTGAGCAGCGCCCCTGCTGGACCCCACTGCCCATCAGGCCTCAGCGTGGGTGCAGGATGGCCTCCCCACTGCCACGAAACCACGGGAGACCACGATCAGGAGAACATGGGGAGAAGCAGCTGGTTGGGCCCCGCCAGCAGGGGCTTCCTTCCCTCATGGAGTCTTGGCCATGAGTGTGCAGGGCGGCACCTGTGGTCACCACAGGGTGGGCGCTGGTGTCCGACACTGCATACATCTTGGGCACCTTTCTGTCCTACTTCATTATAGAGCCAGGGCCCTTAGGAGTGGGGTGTGATGGGGAAGGGATTCATGGGCTGACCTGGGTATGGACCATATGGGGGTTCTGCAGGCTGGTATCTAGATCAGCTCATAAATCTCCTCTCCTCTCCTCTCCTCTCCTCTCCTCTCCTCTCCTCTCCTCTCCTCTCCTCTCCTCTCCTCTCCTCTCCTCTCCTCTCCTCTCCTCTCCTCTCCCCTCCCCTCCCCTCCCCTCCCCTCCCCTCCCCTCCCCTCCCCTCCCCTCCTCTCCTCTCCCCTCCCCTCCCCTCCTCTCCTCTCCCCTCCTCTCCTCTCTTCTCTCCTTTCCTCTTCTCTTTTCTATTCTCCCTCTCCTTTTTCCTCCACTCTTCTCGTTCCATATGCAGTAACATGTATTGAACCTGGGTCTGTGTATGCAAGGCCATACGCCCTGGGCTATCTCTCCAGCCTTTCTTCGACCAAGGGGTCCATGGCGTCTTTCAATTAATTTCCTTGGCACAAAGATTCTGGCTGGGCCATTCCCTGGGGAGGGGCACCCCTAGGTAGCTTCTGCACTGAGAATCTCTTTCTTTACCCAGCGGTCACAGGGAGTTCCCAGGCTAGCTTCAGTCAGTGTGACAGTGGGCTTGTCCCTCTTGGACTCCTGGGGTAGGTGGGTGCTCTGTGAGCACAGGGTCGGTGGGCCAGGAGAAAGGGTGGCTCCCCAGAGGAAGGCCTGGTGCTGCTGGTGGAGCGGACACAGAAATCGTTTCCAGCCCGGCTGTGAAACATGTTGCTACTGTAGTGCCGCTGTGTGTGGGTGGCCAGCCTGGGCAGCCCCTCCAACTGTCTCCCAGGATTCTTCAGGCCCTAGGACCCCCAGGACCCAAGGTCCCACACTTGGGAAGGGTGATTTATATCCCCTGCAGTATCACCCAGTACAGCCTGGATGAGCCGTTTATAGCCACTTTATAATTGGCCCCTCTTGCACCAACCCCAGCCCCCCTGAGAATGTCCCAGACCAACGACAGGAACAGGGAGAGAGGGAGAGCCCATTTAAAGTCCCCCCCATTCCCCAAGTTTGCTCCTTTACACCCTGTGCGCCTTCTGCTGCAAGCCTTTCCAGAAAGGGGAAACTGAGGCCAGAAGTTGCATGCGGTTGTGCAACGGCACTGAGGGAGCAGCCCCCCCCTCCACCCCCACCCCATGTCAAAGCGACGCTCAGCATGCAGCCCCTGCCTCGGCTAGTCCGGGAAAGAGCCCACATGTGGGAGAGCAGCGCAGTCCACCCCCCCACCCCCCGCCCAGCTCCCCCAGTTCCCGGAGGCTTGGGACCCGGGTCCGTGCTCCCGAGACTCTCCGCACCCAGACCCGCAGCCAGCAGGGCGGGTGCGAGCAAGGCGGCCTCCTCGGGGCGCGCGTGCGGCCCCCGGGCGCCCGGGGCGAGCGCGTTGCTACGGGACGCGGGTGCGCACGCCGGCGGGGACCCGGGGAGGCCGGCCGGGGCGGCGCGCGTTACCTGCGGGGCGCGGCTGCAGCGCGCCCGGCTCGGCCGGCGGCTCGGCGCGCCGCGGCTCCGGCTGCACGATCAGCAGCATGTCGATGGCCACGCTCGGGCTGTCCTTGTTCAGCGCCATGGGGCCGCCGCGCTCCGGGGCCGCCGCGCGTGGCCGCTCGCAAGGCTGCCGCCGCCGCAAATGGCCCGGCGCGGCCGGCGGGCGGCGCGGGAGACGGGCAGGGCGCGGGAGAGGGCGCTCCCCCGCCGCCGGGCCGCTGGGCGCCGGTTCCGCTGACTCTGCCAAACACGCCATTAGGGCCTGCCCGCCAGGGCGCTCCCGCCCGCCCGCTCTAAGTCACCTTCGAAAGGAAATCCCCGCCCGGCCCGACCTGCACCCGCCGCCCGGCCGCCCCCGCCCCCCACGGCAGCGCCCCGGGGCCGGCAGCCCCCGGCCACCCGCCCAGGGCAGCACGCGCGCTGTCCACCGAGGCGCTCGGGCCGGGCAGAGGCGCAGGGGGCTCCTGCCGGAGCTGCGGCGGGTGGAGGTGCTGGCCGGCTAGGGCTTCAGCCCCGCATCGCCGGTGGGGTTGGAACTGGTCAGTTCCGTGTGTTGCAGGGAAGGGGGTGGTGGGTGTCGGGGGTCAGTGTCTCCCTCACCCCCGCGGCTTGTGTGTGTACCACTCCCACCCATCTCTCCCAGAACTTGGAGCGCTCTCCGCGGGCGACAGCCTCGCCACTGGCTTGGCCTGCAGCGAACGAACGTCTTGACATCTCTGTGCCTTCTAGAAGCCCGGCTCCGGCCGGGAGGCGAGGGGGTGGCAGGGAGAGCGGGCAGCGTGCTGCGGTCAGGAGCTGGACCTGAGAAGCGCCTATTTTTAGCGGGCCCTGGCCTGGCCAGCAGCGGTGCCTTTGGCCCGGGGGCTCAGGAGTGTTTACAGAAGCATCCAGTGCCCCCAGAACCCTAACCCTTCTACCCCCGGCTAACACTTCCCCTGCAGCCAGCCTGTCCCCTGGGACCCCACTTCCTGCTGCCCCTCACCTGGGTGCCCAGCCCAGCGCTGCTCTGCACTGCCTGCTTGGCCCCCGGCACAGCCTGCTTATCTGGGCTTCCGGGAGGCTGTGCATCTCACAGCTGGCTGTGATGAGGATGCTGCAGGCCCACCTCATCTCAAGGGTAGAGGACAGAGAAGAAGGGCGGCCAGTGAGGAAACTGGGGCTCCACAGCTGCACCCCCTGACTCTGCAGAGCTTTCTTGCCCAGGTGGGCACACAGGTGGTCTCTTGTAAAGACTGCGCCCCTTACTGGTCCCTTCACCACTTACTGCTGACTCTCACCCCGCCCCCCCCATAGTCCCCATTGCCCACACCCCTTCCATCTGAAGGCATCTTACTGAAGGAGCGGTTCATGGTGCAGCATGGAGGGACAGCGTGGGGTGGTGCTGGGGTGGTGGGTGTCTGCATGCAGGAGACGCAGGCAGGGGAGTGAGGCTGGCTGGGGTGTGAGCACTGAAGCTTCTGGAACCTGCTGGTTGTCCAGGCAGCTCTTTACTCCCGGGTGTTCAACTTGACTTGGGAAGAATGTGGGCCAGTCTCTGAGGTGTGAGATGGTATCTCATTGTGGTTTTGATCTGCATCTCCCTGATGATTAATGATGTAGAGCATTTTCTCATGTGCTTTTTTGCCATTCGGATTTCTTCTTTGAGAAAGTTTCTGTTCATTTCATTGCCCCATTTTTGGATGGGGTTGGATGTTTTCTTCTTGTGGAGTTTAACCAGTATTTTGTATATCCTGGATATCAACCCCTTGTCAGATGTGTATTCGGTGAATATCCTTTCCCATTCTGTAGACTGTCTTTGTATTTTGGTCACTGTTTCTTTGGAGGTACAGAAGCTTCTTAGTTTAAGATAGTCCCATTTATCTATCTCTGTTTTCACTTGTTCGGCCAATGGTGTGGCATCTTTGAAGATACCATTAGCTTCAATGTCATGGAGGGTTTTGCCAACTTTATCTTCAATGTACCTTATGGTTTCTGGTCTGATGTTGAGGTCTTTAATCCATTTTGATCTTACTTTTGTACATGGTGTTAGGCAGAGTTCTGAGCCTATTTTTTTGCATGTAGCCATCCAGTGATGCCAACACAATTTATTAAAGAGGCTTTCCTTACTCCACTTCACATTACTTGCACCTTTATCAAAGATTAGATGAGCATATGATTGAGGGGAGATGTCAGTGTATTCAACCCTGTTCCATTGGTCTGCAGTTCTGCCTTTGTTCCAGTACCATGCTGTTTGGAAGAAGTGGTCAATTGAGGGTGCAGATCCCCAAAGGAGCTCCAGAGCTGTCCTTGGGAGTCACCTGAAAGATAACTCCTCCTTTCTGGCATAGGACTCAGTGCCATGTGCTCCCTGGGTGCTGCTTTCAGTAAGAGTCGGACTGTGTCCACCCCGTCCCCCCCTAGCTGATGCTGTCCACTCACTACCTCGCTTCTGGGGAGCTGGTAGGCTGCTCCCCTGCCAGAGCCCTGAATCTCCTCCCCCCGTGCTGGGCCTCATGCTGCCTTTCCTAGGCTCCTGGGAGACACAGGTTATGGTCCCTGTGGCTAGTTTGTCCCCAGCTGAGTGCTGGGATGGCGGGTATGTGGCCACGGCCCAGGTTGTCCTCCTGAGTGCAATGGGCAGGGGGCAGAAGTACGAGACCAGGTGGTTCCCCAGAAGCCTTTTCTGCAGGCGGGCAGGCTGATCAGCCTGATCAGCTGATCATGTTTGTTGATCAGTCCTGGTCGTGGCTGCTGTCACCACTGCCTAGACAACTCCCCTGAGACCCTCCTCCTTTTCTTCAGGGTCAGACTTAATTCTCTTACTTTCGTCCTCCGGTCGGCCCGGCCACCTTTGTTCTTGGAGCACCTTTGAAGCTCCAAGTCCAGTCCAGGGATCTTGCCTTGAACCATGCCCAGAGCTCACAGGACTGGCCGGGGGCTGGTGCTGCACCAGCCCACACTCAACCTGTCGTGTGGACTCCCGCTCCCATCAGGATGGCCTGGGCACGGGTGTGGCCTCTCCAAGGCCAGTTTCCTCATCTGCCCAACGGCGCTGCTGGGATTAAGAGCGGAATCTAGCGGAAACTGGCTCGGCTGCAGCTGTGCCAGCTTCTGGTCACATCTGTCAGGAGTCCACACTCTGGAGGAGGATGCACTCCCACAGCTGGGGTGCGAGCGGGGGGCAGCATCCCTGAAGCCCAAACTTCTCCTGCCCCCCAAACGGCAGCCATCTTTCCTCCTGAGCCCCACTGTCCTTCCTCCGAGAAATGCCTCACGCGGCACCGCCCAGTCACAGCAGAGCTGGCAAGGTGCGGGCAGCGGCAACCCCGGGTGACCTGGATCTCCTCACCTCCACACCGCACCCCTGAACACTGGGTACCCCTGATCATGCCTTTCTCTAAGGCCCATTTTCCAGATGAGGAAACTGGGAGACCATCTACTTCACGGGCATCTCAGAGGGAGCAAGGGACTCCCTAATGCTTGACAACCCATTTTCTTTGAGTACAGAGTTGACAATTCCGTTTTCCATGCCAGAGAAGGCTGGCGAGGGCTTTGCAGGTAGCAGGGTTCAGGCATGCAGGGGCGCTGAGGCTCTGGAGGGGAGGGAGGAGATGAATGTGAGCACAGAAACTTGCAGTTGCAGGGATGGGGGAGGGGAGCCGCTCAGTCTCAGCAGCAAGGTACGGTCAGGACTGATATAACTGACCTGAACCAAGGGGGCCCTGCTGTGGGGACAGTGGTCAGAGTGCAGAGGGCAGGACACAGGGTCTCACACTGTCATGAGGAGTGTGGTGGCCGGGCCTCCGGTGGGAACTGGGCTTAGTGTGGAGAGCAGGGGCAATGGGGCACCTTCCAGTCCAGGGCCTGCCTGAGAGCCCTCCCACCTCAGTGACCTTGTGGCCCTGGCCACGAGGGACCCAGAGAATGCCCTCCATAGGGGTCCCTAAAAAATAAGGCTTGACCTTGACCATGACCAGGCTCATGGTGGAAAATGTAGAAAATGCAAAAGCTATTGGAAGAAGAAAACAAAACCGCTGCGTCTCATCAGATATTCTGCTGTTTAGCGTTTTCTTCCATGAACACTACAACAATCCAGTACAATCGACATGTTTATATGTGTGTATACACACTTCAACATTAAAAAATAAGATTGGGATCACACCAGGTACAGAAAGTATCTTGTTTATATTTCTTTAACTTTCACTCAACAATGAAGAAGTTACTGAAATCCTCCAAAGCCCATTTCAAAAGTTTGCCCACTCCCCATTATAGGTCTGTGTCATGGCCCACCTTGTTTTTCTTGGACTTTTAGTTTGTTTTGCATTTTCTACTTTTTATAAAACATGTGATGATAAATATTTGCCCACTTATGTGCCTTTGACCACTTATGTGGCTATTTCCTTAGAATAGATTCCTGGAAGTGGAGTTAAGGTTAAGTTAAGTGGAGTCAAAGGTTACAACTATTTTAAGGCTTGAGATATATAAAATGTCAAATTGCTTTCCAGAAAGATTGTGCCTATTTGTGGTTCCCCTGTCTCCATGTATCTCTCTTACTGCACATGCTAAAATGTTCAATCCTGATATTTACCCTTGAAAGGATGTTTCTCTCTTATCCCCTTGGAGGTGGAACCATTATTTTTACCTAAGTCTATGTGTTTGTGAGTTGGAGGTGGGACAGGGGAGAAGAATGAGAGCAAGGAGTTCTTCCTTCTATTGGATGGATACATTTAAATGTGACCCAGGTTTTGTGTTTTGATCAGACCTGGCCGTGCTCAGGGTTTACTCCTGACTCTGTGTTCAGGGATCACTCCAGGGACAGTACTCAGCATTCTCTATGCAGTTTCGGGGATCAAACCTGGGTTGGCTGCATATAAGGCAATTGCTGTAACCTTTGTACTGTCTCTCCAGCCCTTAAATGTTGGTGTAACAAAAAGGAACCACCATCAGATGGTTCCCATATCACTGTCTGCAGATGGGTCCTATCTTATGGCAAAGTCCCTGGCATTTGTGGGACCCTGTGAGCTCCTCAATGGCCTGGTATTACTGATTCTGAGTTACCCCCCTCACCATACCTTGGGTCTCTTCTGTGCTATATTCAGAAGG